AAGACTTGGTGAAAGCCTGTGTATCGGTAGAGATAATGGGACACCTCATGGATGGTTTTATAGGAGCCTGAGCAGAAACTGAAACGCGAGTTTTGGGCGTTGTTGAGTAGCCCTGTCTTTCGTGTCAAGTTGTATCAAGATAGAAGCATGCATACTGGGCGGCGGACTGTTCAATCATCGAAGTTGGCGGATATGCAGATGGCTTCCACCCATTTGTGGGTATTCTTCATCACACGCCAGACATCTGTGAACTACCGGTGTTCATTAGAGGCTGTGAAAAAAAGATATCTCCATATACTGAGCCTGTGGTGAATATCCTCGAAAGCATCATGCCACGGACCGTCAGAGATAGACTGGTTGACAATACGAAATTTCGTCTTCCTAGAGCCCCCGGCGATGTGCTATGAAAAGCAGGGTCACTGCTAAAAATAAAGCTAATCAACGAAGAAGCCCAAAAAAAAAGCAGCTCCGTGATGGATGATCCCAGTGCGCTGACAGATGGTGCCTTCATGCATAATGTACTACATCGTGCGAGTCGCCGTCCCCCAGGATCAGATTTCGTCGACATGCGCGTCTGAATTGGCTCAGTAGCTGGGATGCTTGATAAATGAAATCATTTCTAATTGATATGCATGTTGTCGCGGCCAGGTTTGAACACCTCCGCACACCACCACGCCATAATAGCGGTACCTGTTAAAACATGGGAAGTGTACATGCGCAAATGTCAAGGAAGGGCATGCTACCCATCAACAAACCCAGATCCGAGGAATATTGACGGAACGGCATCAGACACCCATTGGTCAGTCCTTTGACGAGGTTCGTGGAACGTAATGCCGTTGTATGGCATCGCAAGGGACCGGGTGGTATTAAGGAACTCCGATGGACAGATGTCCAGGACATAGGTTGTGCAGAACGAATTTCTTCTGCCAAGAAACACAGCGACGTCTGCCAATCTTCGACGCAAAGCTGACAAAATTCCGAGCGGTCAGGTGTTGAGTTCACTGAACGTGAATGCGTGGGTTTCAATTCCATCAGGATTCCACGAAGAAGTTCAAGTTCCACTCTCTACTATTTCATGATTCGACGGTCACGCATCACAGCGGGTTTGTCGAATAGAAGCGAGCGTGACCGACGCCAAATTTTGCAGAATTGAGGTGCTAAAAATGGCATTTTTGGCGCTAGATGTGAAAAAAAAACCCACAACCTCGTCAAAATGTTTTCAGTTGTTACGGTCATACAGGGTGCTAAACACTAAAATAAGTTGAATAGGTTTTTCAAGGTCGCAGATCACACAGGTGTCGAATCGAATGAAATGGGACAGTGGTTTTTCATCCCGTGAAGGTAGTAGATATGAATAATCCCACTATCTCACTGCTTGATTGATCCGCCAAAGAGCCCTGTGCGGTGAATGAAGTCAGCCCGAAGTCCTATCCAAGAACACCCGAAAGTACTAACAGTATTTCGCCGTGTATTTGACGACGATTGGGTCGGACCCGGGGGTGCACTATATCCCGGTCAGAATGAATGGACGTGTATTATTACTGCAGCCACATACTGTAGCAGGTGGTTGTCCGCCCTTGGTGTCGACGCGGTAGACTTGTTGGGCCAGTTCGCCTGTCAAGGCTGACAGGCTGACCCAGTCGATATCTGAGGTACCGGTGGGAGCGCTGAGGCCAGAAACCTTCGCCGCGACGACAAACGCGTTGGGATTGCCGGCATTGGCGCCCTGCGAGGTGAAATCCCATTTGGGGTTTACGCCGACGCCAGTGAGCGGGTTTGGCACATAGTAGTGCTGACCTAACGACCAGGCAGTGGTTAGGAAGTATCTGGCTATAGGTCAATTTCCGCACCAAGAATCTCAGGGGTCTTGGCGGAGTGAAGGAGCGCAATGACTTCTTCAGGGGTAACAGCAGGAGGCGAGACGCGCCAAATATCGTAGGCGATGTCTTGGATGTTCCCAAACGCCGGTGCGTTGTAGAGGCACGAGATGTCAAAGAGCTCAGCGACGGCTCCGATATTTCTGCAAGTGAGCATATATTCAGTAATTCGTGCTAGTAATTGATATGTAGAGTTAGTTACTCACGTGTACGTTCCAGTTGCGCCGCAAGTGTAATTTTGCGTGCCAACGGCCACCGCAATAAAAGATGGTTTGGTAGTTGGCGGCGCGAGGGCTGTTTGCCCCGCGGGGAAATCCATTGTCGCTGCCAAGATGTCGCAGCCCGTGGATCGGGATACAACCTCAGGGGCAGCGAAAATTGGAGAGGCAAGAGTCAAGGAGAGCAATATGGCGGAAAACATTGCAAGAAGATTCGAGGGATGTAAGATTGAGAGGTGGGATCTTGGGATGATACGAAAGACTTGGTGAAAGCCTGTATCGATAGAGATAATGCGCCGCTTCATGGATGGTTTTATAGGAGTCTGAGCCCCGTCTTTCGGGTCAGGTTGTATCAAGATAGAAGCATGCATACTGGGCAGCAGATGTTCAATCATCCAAGTCGGCGGATATGCAGATGGCTTCCACCCATTCGCGTGAGTATTCTTCATCACACGCCAGGCATCTGTGAATCACCGGAGGCTGTGAAAAGAAGATATCCCTGTACTGAGCCTATGGTGAATATCCTCGAGGGCGTCGTGCCGTGGTCTGCCATAGGTACAATGAAATAACGAAATTCTGTCCTCCCAGAGCCCCTGGCGATGTACTGTGAAAGCAAAGTCATTACCAAAGAATAAACCTACAACGAAGAAGCCAAAAAATAGCTCCGTGATGGGCAGCCCCAGCGCGCCGACAGACGGCGCCTCCATGCATACCAATACAATGCATCGTGCGAGTCGCTGGCCCTCGGGACCAGATTTCGTCAGCGTGCGCGTCCGTATTGACTAGGATGCTTCACGAAAAAAATCACTTGCTCACATCTCCATTTCTAGTTGCACACCACCACGCCATAATAGCGGTACTTGCTAAAACGTGGAAAGTATGTAAATGCCAAGGAAAGGCATGTTACCCATCGACAAATCCAGATCCGAAATATATTGACAAACGACATTAGATATCATTGGTCGGTCCTCTGGTGAGGTTCGCAGAATACATAATGCCGTTGGTATGGCACATGAGGGACCGGGTGGTAAACAAATTTCTTCTGCCAAGAAACACGGCGGTGCCTGCCAATCTTCGACGCAAAGCTGACAAAAATTCCGAGCAGCCAGGTGTTGCACACTCCAATTTCTTATTGGTTTGGTTGTAGCCAGGCTTCATGGAGAATCGGGTTGCGTGTGTGAAATTTCAATGTGATGGTGGTTGAGTGTAACCAATGTCGGGCTATCTCCGAAAGAAACCGTGTAAGGTGTCCATATTCCGTGCGCAATTGGTATAGTAATAAATTGTAGCCATGAATCATTCAATGAGGTGTCGAGGTTTATGATCATCCATTTCTTGATCTGGATGTATGTTTCGAGCGCGCTTCAAGTTGTTGGGAATTCATCATAGTGTGGCGTCTTAGGCTCGCGTGGAACATATTTGATAAGTTGCTTCGATTTCGTCCATACCAGTAACAATGAGTGGGAACCTTCGCCAAGAAAATCTATGGCAGAAGTTGCCAATATGATCTAGTTGGTTCTGGGCCTCGCAGCCTCCGCGGGGACAGAGACAAGTAGCGCCATACCCGTGCAGCTTTATGCGCCAGATACAGTGCTGAGGGCAGTGATTACGCCAATAGTACCAACACTGATAATTGGTTGGATGATAACTACAGTGACGATGGTTGGTGGTCAAGATGGGGGGTATTGGAAGAGGAAGGGATGTTTAAGTAGTCGGGCCGTGACGAACGAAACTACCATGACCGAATCAAGGTTTCTTCAGGTAATCCTCCGCACTTCAATGCACCTTCCAAGCCAGGTTAAGGACTGGAGTCGAGTGCGAAGACAATGATTATGGAGTGTGTGTATGATTTGCTTTCACCAGGTGACTTCGTAGTCGCCAAATTTGGAGGGGGCGTGTCTGTGCCTAAGTAGCAGGACCCGGGTGAAGAAAGGAAAGAGGAGAGTGCGAGACATGAAGGCCGCGGTTGTGCTTGCAGAGTGATGGTATGTAAAGGGCGGAGTATGTGTGTGAAACGAGGGGGACCGCAGTTAGTGCTGGAAGGCGGACAACTCAGAGAGGTAGGTTTAGGCGGGGCCTGGAAGGATCGATGCACCCTCCTCTGTGATTCTACTCTCACCATTCGGTTGCGGTTAACTCTTTCCCGCGAGCAACCCAACGCGTGCCCTTCCCGAGTCCAATCACCCAATTCGCCGGATGCCCAAGTTGTTTGGTATCGTATAGTCCCAGTGTCTTTGAACAGAGCGGTACGAAATGGATATTTCGTATTTGTTGTGAACTAGCCAGTGCATTCACTCGATCAATGTGTCCTTCAGAGGGGGGACATCCCGGACAATGTAGACTTGCTGCAAGGAGGAACACCGCGAAAAACTATTTTGGCACCATGACCGACAGGAACAGCCCTCTCATTGGCTGTTCGTGACGTTGTCAACCCAAATTAAGGTTCGAGGTCTTTGTCACCCCTCCCGGGCCAACTCGGACAAGCTCTCCGTTCGGTAGGGGCAAGGCGGCGGTGAAAGCTGATAAAAGTCAACAAAGTGCGGACCACGGCTGGCGACAATTTTGCGTACCTTGTCGCGGTTCTCGTCGAGGGGAAGCATGTGTAGGTCGTCCGCGTGGGGGTGTCAATACAGGTCTGTGATGGGAAGTATAGATGCGTGGTGCAGAGGGCAGAACTTGTGAGGTTATCTTGCTGGATGAGGCGGGCGGCCTTTGATGAGCCCGTACATGTTCCCGGCGAGCGAGTGGGCCAGGTAAAATATTTATCTTCAGATGACAAGTACTACAGAAACCACAGCTGAAATAACTCAGACGAGATGGCATTGATAGACAAAATCCCACAGATTTGATTTCCAATATCCCTCGGGATCAACTCGTGCCACTCAGATGATGAACCAAAAAGAAGCTCTCTGTCTGGGAGTCGAACCCAGCTTTCGCGCGGCCACTCAACCAATGACAGGCGCGTGTACTAACCGATATACTAACAGAGACGCTAGTGCAGGTCGATGATGCAAGCCTCCGTCTTGGCATCATATCGGCGAACTTGGAGTACGCAAATTTCAATTCCATTAGTACACACACAAAAGGCTCGTAACGCTCGTTATCTCGGTAGATAACATAGACACAAAGTAACCTCTCTCTCTCACTGCTTCACAGTTCCGCCGAAGAGCCCTGTAGGATAATAATGTCAGCTGGAATGCCCGTCATCTCCAAAAACCAGAACTGACAGTATTTCGCCGTATATTTGACCTCGATTGGGTCCGACCCGGGGCTGCACTGTACAACAATCGGCTCAAATGAACACATAGATATTGCTGCGGTTACAAACCGTAGCAGGCGGTTGCCCGCCCTTGGCATCGACCTGATATATCTCCTGAGCCAACTCTCCGGTCATGGCTTCCAAGTTGACCCAGTCAATGTCTGAGGTGCCCGTGGGGGCGCTAAGGCTGGCCACACTCTCGCGACAACAAATGCGTTGGGGTTGTCATAGTAATCACCCGGCTGCGAGCTGAAATCCCATTTAGGGCTCACGCCAACGCCGGTGAGTGGGTTTGGTACATAGTAATGTTGACCTAATCATCGACGCGCAGTTAGGATATATCCAGTGATAACGCTGGTTGTGGGTTATTCCCGCACCAAGGACATCAACATTGCCAACGGCCATGTCAGAGTGAAGAGCCGTGATGATTGCTTGAGGGGTGACGCCAGCAAAGGCGACGCCCCAAATATCGAAAGCGAAATCTTGAATCTTCGCAAATGACGTTGTGTTGGTAAAGCATGAGAGGTCGAAGAGCTCGGCGACGGCCCCAACATTGCTGCAAATGAGGATTCATTCAGTAGCTCATCCGACATTGTATTTGGTTGAGTGGTGCTCACATATAAGTTCCAGTGGCGCCGCAAGTGTAATTTTGCGTGCCAATGGCCATCACAATATAGGATAACTTGGAAGTGGGCGGCGCAAGGGCTGTTTGCCCCGCGGGAAAATCAATTTTCGTTCCCGCTGGGAAGTCGCAGCCCCAAGGGGTTGCAAAAATCGGAGAGGTAGCAAGAGCCAAGGAGAGCAATACGCAGAGAGCATTTTGGGGGTATCAGAGAATGAAACCGGGATCCTGGGATGATACAAAAGACCTGATAAGACCTGTGTACCGATGGAGCCAACAGACCAATTTGTGGGTGGCTTTATAGGAAATTGAGCGAAAAATGAGGCGCAGGTTTTGAGCGTCATTTCGGAGCGATCCTGTCGTGGCATCTTTCAATATTAAGTTCTATCAAAATGGAAGTTCGCCCACTAGCCAGCAGACCCCAAACTGTCAGGCTGTGGATAAAAAAGTCCCATACTGAGTCGGTAGTAAATACCCTCATAAATATCGTGACACGATCCCGGTCCGACACCAGAGTCGGAGGCGGACCAGGCCGCCTAGCGGTGAAGTTTAGCCGCGATCTCCAGCCCTTTGCGATAGTGATGCTTAACCCTGTGTTTTGAAAATGAAGTTAGCGCAGAAACATCCATGGAGAGACATAAAAAAATACCCCATGTTATCCACCGGGGGAGGGGAAGGTTCAAGGGGGCCTGTCGAGAGCTATTTTCAGATCTACCTGTTACTATATGCGGAATCGCGAAAGGAGGATTTTGAGCGCTGAGCGCTGGCGTGGACGCGTGACCCGGACGAGATATCGATCAGGCGTGAAAATAATCTCATAACCAGTATTCCACGTTGTTCATCTCGAACAACCGATGGGCCCGAAGGGCGTGAGCCGGACAACCCGACTTCCAGACAGCCGCAATTCTACATTTAGTGAATATATATAAAACGCGACCAGACCTGAGAAATTTAAACCGTGCTGAGCGCAGTGAAACCTTTTGCACCTCGATTCATGGTGCTTCGTGTGGGGCCGGCTTTGGGCGCGTGATCGCTCCCATGCTTCAAGTCTCTGGAGGACAAATCGTAAAATATTAGTACCTCAGAATACCTTATGGTATATGGGAGTCATCCCACTGCCAGTATATCTGCTGCCCAGGTTCAGGAGTTACAATGAACTCTAACCGGTCCACAGAAAATGTAGACATGCGCCATAATGATATACCAGGGCAGGATGAGTCGAGCCACATCTTGATGGCCAGTGGCCAAATGTCCTGAGAATGGTTTATCTGGGTAATCCTTGGGGCTTAGGCCTCAGGATGGTCCGGAATTTGTTTCATGTACATGTGCAGTCCTCCCCGAGTCCCCCTGCGGTTCAAGTTCAAATTTGGGTTGATTCTGTATATAAGGATCAATGATGTAAAATTATAACCCGGACTCCCCACAATTGACCTCGTGCCACGCTTTTAACATATCACTTCCCCCTTAGGTCAGTGCTAAAAATAAACCTAGTCAAAAAAGCGGCCGCTCAGGAACTTTAATATAGGCTTTGATGAACTCCTAGATCTCTGACTGGCCCCTCTTGGCGGGAAAAACCTCTATGAGCGGTCTTGCTCAGGTGGGGATGGTCAAGGGTCTTGTAGCTCTCCACAGCATTAGCTCCACTGATATTTCATGTTCCCATCCACAGGGATACCTGGTAAATAACATCTTTCAATGGCCGGGCAGAGTCCATAGTACGGCCGGGTTTGGACGCCCCCATACACCACGCCACAATATTAGTAGCACTAGCGGTAAGGACCGCCGCCCGCCAACAACTTCAGACCCATGGTGCAGTGACGAACGGCGTTGGATATCCGGGTTGCAAGCTTACACGTTAAATTTCTTCCGCTACTAAAACAGCGGCTTTGGCTAACCTGGAATGCGAAGCTGGAATAAGTCTAAGCAGCCAGGCGCTGCGCACCCAAAATGTTTGGTGGGTTGGATAGGCCGGGGCCCATGGAGAATCTAGCTGCGCGCGCGAAATTTCCTCAAGTTTGGGCGGTGTTGGTCGAATGCAACTGATTCTAAGCTATTATTGAGAGAAACCGCTGGCAAGTAAGATGTAAGATGTCCATGTTCTACGTGTAATTTTGGTATGAAATAGTTGTCGGGCCATTCAACTGGGGTGTTGGAAATCTACGGCAGAGTCTGCTTGATCCAGTTCTCGATCAGGAGGAAAGTGTCTGGCGCGCTTGTGTGGAGATTCACGGCATGCCCAGACTTGGGAACGATGTACGTGGAGAACGCCGACGCCGGGAAGAGCTCTTGTGTGAGGTTGACCAGATTTTGGGAGCCGTTCAGGGGCTGGTAGCAATTCCCTCCACAAAAGACACTACGATGATGATGAGTAAATAGTGTAAGATAGCCGGGGTGCATTCCTTACAGGTCTTTTTCACCTGTGACAATAAGAACGGGGTTTGTGTAATTTGACGCAACACCAGCGGTTTGAGTGACGAGTTCTCCCAGTGTCACGGTCTCCTTCGAGAGAGAGGCAAGGTCGGCGATCGCTGATGTTATGGTGCCAACTCAATAATGTGAAAGTTAAGAATTAAGTGGGTGTGTACCTTGTTCGAATCCACCATAATGGAAAAAAATGGTTTGATCGTTGGACGCAGTTGCTGTAGAAAGGTATGACGATTCCAATGACCCTAGATTGTGTTCAGACCACAAGCAACAGAAGTGATGGCGAGGCCTACCGAATCGGGTGGAGTTTTGGATCGAAGCAATTGTTAGGCCAAATGCAGCAATCGTGACAGGTATGCCCCCCGAGTAAGAACTGAATCCAGTTAGGACCATGGCATCAAACTTGTTACCATATTCTGTAACCAGACCGAGGAGATGAGAGCTGTGAATCATTAGCTTGGGGATTTAACATAGGCAGGAGTATGTGCGTACCTCCCAAAAGAATGTCCAACCCCGACAATTTCCCCAAAGCTCAGTTTTTTGGGAAGGCATTCAAGGAGCTGATTCGCGACTTCGACCTCGGTTTGAAACTGCACCTCTCTGATCCCATCAGGTTTGCTTGATTTCCCCGTTCCTGTGGGCATCAATCAGGCCAAAGCAACCCGACCAGCCGACAACACTTTCCTAGGCGATCGAATATGAAAATTGCATGCCCCGCCGTTATGGCAGCCTCAACATAGTTATATGGGGATCCTTCGCCTCCGAATATCCAGTAGCTGTGATCGAAGCCGATGCTATCCGTTCCGTTAGCCTCTAGCCACCTGCATAACAAGACATTGGCGATACCCATGTATAGCAAACTCCAGCACACCATCATCACTGAAGTCGTGCGGAACACACAACTGGGACCATATTTGATAAGTTGCCTCAATTGTGTCCACACCAGTGACAGGCGAGGGGGCTCCGCCAAGAAAGTCGTGACGAAAGCCGTCAATGCAACTTGGTCAGCGGGCTTCGAGATATTGAGCCTAGCAGCTTCCGCACTGATGGAGACAGGGAACATCATATCCGTACAGTTATACGTGCCAGATACGGATAGAGCAGCGGCCACACTAGCAGCACCAAGGTAGACGAACGATTGAAGAACGAACATGGTGATGGTGGTTTGTGACTGGGATAGCGAGGGATGGAGGAGGTATGGAGGAAGGTTTAAATAGTCAGGCCATCATGACGCGTTGGCGGATGAGGCTGACATGGTCAAACCAAGGTCCCTTGATTCTTTCCAGGTGGCCGTGGCTGACACGGAAGCACAACCATAACCAGGCTCACTTGAGTACTACGAGCCTGCTCGGCCGAATGATCGCCCTGTCAGGCCAGATATTCAAAAGAAACTGTCGACTTTATCACCACCGAGTCCGACGCCCCGTTCAAGCTGTCAGGTATGAAAACAACGTTGGCCGGAGAAGACAGTTGATTCGCAAGCCCCCAAGAACCTGAGATGTGCATGTTTGAACCCCCAAGCGCGATAGGAGGTTAACTGGACGCTGAATAGGTTTGGCGGGTTTAGGCCAGCGGAAGCCAGTGGATCACGGTTGCAAATAACATGAAGTGGCCACAAACGGGCAAATTGATCTTTTATTAAATTGATCGTGGGTGGTGATCCGCCTTCCCGGCTATGATGCCTC